TATTAAATAAAATTATTTTTTATTTCATTTATTGTATTTATTTAATTATTGAGTGTGCGAATTAAAGTTGGGTAATATAAGTTGGATACTTGCGTTGAGAAGTACAGTGTGACACAACTTATATTTTGATCATAAATAATTTGTCCACTACTTCTGTATAAGGGTTGGCACTTTATATTGGAAGGTAGTAGTTTTGTCCAATTCACTATTTGAGTTTGTGATTTGTCTTTATCACAAAAATAGTTAAAGGTGACATTAATACACCTGAAGTGTATTGAACGGACCACGTGTCGAATTTAATTAGCATGACCGTGCGAAGAATTAAATTACACATAACCGCTGTGTATTTCATCTAAATTCCTTGACAGAGTTATGTATATCTTTTCGTGATTTTAATGGTTCTTTTATTTATCAATGATTGAGATCAATTTGATCGGTCAAATATCTCGATGAGTAAGGAATTTGAGAATGAGCGAACTAGAGCATGAATTCGTGTCGGGAACCGCCGTCCTAAAAAATAGACTTTTTATGTATTTTCTGTTGAACGGTTAAAACNCTCATAATAATTAGTCGCCTAGAGCCTCTAAATTCTTAGAGCAGGCCTTGATTTCATGCAGTATATATATGTTGGGTTGTGTGTCCATATAGTATAATTTTGCTAATGTAAAAATAACAATATTCTTATATTAAATAAAATTATTTTTTATTTCATTTATTGTATTTATTTAATTATTGAGTGTGCGAATTAAAGTTGGGTAATATAAGTTGGTTACTTGCGTTGAGAAGTACAGTGTGACACAATTTATATTTTGATCATAAATAATTTGTCCACTACTTTTGTATAAGGGTTGGCACTTTATATTGGAAGGTAGTAGTTTTGTCCAATTCACTATTCGAGTTTGTGATTTGTCTTTATCACAAAAATAGTTAAAGGTGACATTAATACACCTGAAGTGTATTGAACGGACCACGTGTCGAATTTAATTAGCATGACCGTGTGAAGAATTAAATTACACATAACCGCTGTGTATTTCATCAAAATTCCTTGACAGAGTTATGTATGTCTTTTCGTGATTTTAATGGTTCTTTTATTTATCAATGGGTGAGATTAATTTGATCGGTCAAATATCTCGATGAGTAAGGAATTTGAGAATGAGCGAACTAGAGCATGAATTCGTGTCGGGAACCGTCGTCCTAAAAAATAGACTATTTAAGTATTTTCTGTTGAACGGTTAAAACTTAAGCTCAGTATTTAGCGACGGCTAAATTTCGACATCTGTGATTTATTCACAGGACCATTGAAGAAATGGTACTTAAGTTGGTGAGAATAATTCGAGGGAAAAACGATCATTTATGCTCATACCTAATTATTGAATTTCGGACGGGGATAAAATACACATACGGCGTGTCAGAAGAAAGTATTATAAATTTATTGGCTTCCGTGATCTTATGTATTTCGAGAGTTCAGTTTTTTGCCTTTAGTGAAAAAAACAAGGATTGAAATTAGATTTGGTGGCCTAGGGTCGACTAGATAGGATCTAATTATTGGAGCTTGGAAAATATATGTCACATTAGGTCCTTATGGTAGCTCTATAAACTAATTGAATTTAATTACGGTAATTATAATATTTTGGACTTAATTGTAATTACAATGAAGTTTTGTGCTTACTTGTAATTGCTATAAAAGTTGTAAATTTAATTATAATTGTAATTAAAGTTCTAGGACTACACGTGTAATTTGTAAACTAATTGGATTTGGACTTTAATTAAAACTCTTACCTGTATTTTAATTAAAACTCCTATTTGATATTGGAATTATTATTCTACATGGATTGGGACATCTTTTATCTCTATAAATAGAGATTAGATGGACATAAAAATCTTACGACAATTATAATACATAATTTCATAGTGTTCAAATTTGGAGAAAGAGAATAGTGAG